GAGAAGATGGGAGGATCCAGAGGTATCAGCAAGATCTCTGAGAAACTTTTATGCCACCCTAAGAAGTTTAAATTTCTCTTGGTAAATCCTTTGAAGAATTTCAAACCCACAATTTGGAAAACACAATTGTGAACATGATACAGAAAATAGATTAGAAGTGGGTAAGATAGAAGGAGGCAGACAGATTGGTTGGATGGCTACTGTATTGTTTGGAGAACGATGATAAAGACTCAAGTCTAGTTAGCAGTAGTAAGGATGGAGCAGAGATGTTGTCAGAGATATTTAAAAGTTCAAATCCACAGAAAGAATTAACCGTTTTTTCTTCTTCTTTTTTTCCCCCCTCACCTGAGGATATGTTTTTCTTGTGTGTGTGTGTGTGTGTGTGTGTGTGTGTGTGTGTGTGTGTGAGAGAGAGAGAGAGAGAGAGAGAGAGAGAGAGAGAGAGAGATGGGTTGTCTCTCATGCACACCCCCACTGGGGACTGAACCCACAATCTGAATATGTGCCCTGACTGGAAATCAAACCAGCAAACTTTTGGTGCATGAAATGTTATTTTTTACTAGGATGTTAGCAAGACTGCATTTCCCAGGTCCTCTTCCAGTTGGATGTGGTCATGTGATAAATTCTAACCAATAGTGTGAAAGCAAAAGTGACTCATGCTACTTCTAGGCCTAATCTATAAAAACCTCTTGTTATACACAATCCTCTATTCTTTTTCCCCAGCCCCCAGATGGATGTTGATGATCAGGTTTGAATAGCCTTGGACTAGCCTAGGTAGTCACTGGGTGAAGATAGCAGAAAGATCATCAACCTGAGTTCCTGACTGACTGTGTGGAGCAGAGCACCCCATCCTCCATCCCCTCACTAGTCCCCAGTTACTTAGATTCACTATTAGGTGGGCACATAAATGTAAAAAACTTATACTCTATTAATCCAATGAATTATTGGAGGTATTTTGTTGTTGTTATTGCTATTGTTGTAACAGTTAGCCTACCTTGAAAATATATTAACTTGGAGAATATTAAGATTTCTAGAGAAGTCAGAAGAAGAGCTAGAAAGGAAAAGAAGAATCAATGAAGTAGAAAAAGGATCATGAGAAAAGTACTGTCATAAAAAGCTAGGGAATAATAAATTTAAAAAAGTTTGGATTTTCTCCTATAGGATAGGCCAGTGCCTCTGAGAGAATAAGACTTGAAAAAATAGTGAAACATTTTGACTCATTACTTTTAGCTATAAAGATAAAGTTAATTTTGATCCCCTTTTGAGAGAAGAAAGAATAATACGAAAGATGTTCCTCCCCCTAGTTATAAATTTCTTACTAAATCTTATTAATATAATTCTAATAAAAGTATTGCCAGTTTCCTTTGCTCCTTTGTTTTTGGTATGACTTCCAACATGAATAAAATGTTGCCAGATCAATTAATCTTAAATGGTATTTGTTTTAAACACACGCACATCAATCATGAGTCTGGTTACTGGAAAACTTAATACTCTGTTGTTCTTAAATTTAAAAATGTGTTCCATGTAATTATCAGATTATTTTGAAAAAGAGGTTGTTTTGAAATCCCAAGGTTATTCAAACCTGGTATTCTAAATGTAATCACTGTTTTGGGCCATTAACTAAAGTTTATATTCCAGGTAATTCCATATCTTAGTGAACAAGCATCTATATGTTCTGTCAGCTTGGATTAAAATAGTCTCAGGTTGTAATAAATTAGAATTTCATATTCCAAAGCAATCATAGTTTTGAAATGCCTAGTTTTAATAACTAAAATGGTATCTAAATGACCAATTTTATAGTTTTAAACTAACAAAATTAAAACTATAATTTCTAACACCCAGATTCAATGAAAATGTCAAAGCTGATTAATCAGACCAATGGTTTCTAATTAACCAGCATAATCCAATTTATTCTCTCTTTTTATGTGCGTGTATGACACTACATTAAGGCCAACATCTTTCTGCTTTGTATATCAAAATATAAATAAGATAAAAATAAACTTCTAGCATATTCCATCAAAATTAGTTAAGCTTATTGCAGACATAGTAGTGATTTTAAAAAATATATATTTTTTAGCCTGAGTAACTTGACCATTATAGTCCTGATGTATTTCCAAACAAATTCACATGACTTTTTTCTTGCAGAACATAATGTCCTAATTTCTAGATAGAATTCAATGATTTACTTTGATTGCTCTGTGCTTTTCTTCTTACTTTACAAAATAGATTTATCCTATATTTGGTTTAATGAAACATCTTTTTATAATTAGAAGTCTCATGAAATGTACCCATCAAATTTCCTATTTAAAGAAAACATTTTTGCATTTCTTAGTCTCTAATGTGAGTACTTATGAACAAGCTTATTATAAAGCTTTTAGATTGGTGAAGTAGTTTTCTGACTCATTAATTCAACAGATTATGTTTGGATTTGAGCAATAGAAACAATTAAAACTCAACAATAAATCTGTGCCTAGTTTTCACATTTTTTTTCCTCCCTAAAATTAGCACAGTATAAAGAACTCTCCTAAGATAGGATTGCAAGACAATTTAATCTAATATTTTACCTCATATTTGCAGTTATCTACTTTTGATTTTAAAATGGGAATATTTGGCTTTCTTGCTTTTCATTTCCTTTATAATTTTTATTCTTCAACTTTGACATTGAATAGAATGTGCCACCATTTGCATGTTATCTCAGTTCTTTTGAACAGAACATATATTTCCCTAATAAACCCAGCTTATCTTTTCATCTTCATTGTTTTGCTTTTTTGGACTATCAATTTTGTAATATCACAAGTATGAATTTCCTTCCTAATACAGAACCAGATACTTGATTTTTCTAATGTTATTTTCCAAATAACATATTATTTTATTCAGTTTTTTCTTTATTCTAAACAAAGGCTAAAATTATTCAAAGGCTAATATTATTTATTTAATAAAAAAATGACCCTGCAAATAGGGAGTGTTGTTTTTTTGTTTGTTTGTTTGTTTTGCAAAGCAAACCAGAGTTGGATGCAGTTATTCCGGCTTTATAATATAAACTAGAGGCCCAGTGCAGGAATTCATGCATGGGTGGGGTCTGGCCAACCTGCCCTGATCAGGGCCAATTGGGCCGGGCTATCCGGGGAGGTGGGGACCTGGGAAGTTGGCCAGCTGGCGCCGCCCCTTGGTTGAACTCCTGGTTGAGGGGACAATTTGCATATTAGCCTTTTATTATATAGGATGTTGGCTATAAATAAGTCCCCACTCTTGGAACTTTTTTCAGAAAGACACCTCTGTTTTAATAACCTACCTTTGGACAATTCCATGTCTGCCAGCCTTCATTGAAATCACATATAGATAAGACTGAAACATTCTGAATTCTTTTTAGCCACTGCAAGCATATTCGTTCATCAGTAACCCATGTGAGCCAACTGAAATAATAATCACTGCAAATAAATTGAAACCGACTGTCACAACCATAAACCAATATCACATTCAAGTAATTTTTTAATTTCTGTTTTCTAAAGGATCTATTTTATTATTATTACATTAAATACTTATCCCATAGATAAGGAAGGCAAAATGTTCCCTTTCTGCTGAGTAAGTTTAAATATACCTGCTGACTTTTAAAGACTATCTATAAGAGTTCATCCGTCTAATGCAATTATTATTTTACTTGAGTTTGCTCCCCATTTTGGATTTTTATATTTTAGAAAAGAATTTAAGACATAAAGCCAAAGCTACTGGTCAATGTGTAGGAGAAAAAGCATTAAATTAGCTATTATGCATAGGTAAACTCAATTTTTGCTTATAGTGCATATACTCATCGTTAACTCACTAGAAAATAAGTCTGAGCACTGATTAAGAAATTTGTATTAAAATACCATTTCAAAAGTGGAAAGCATCTGAGATGAATATACCTTGAGGCTATCATTGCTGGAACTGGCACTTCTATGGGGCCTACATACTCAGGGTAAGTGGTATCGACAATAAATATCCGAACAACAGGATTCTTAGCTCCAGCCTGACAAGAAAATAAAGATAGATCAGCTCATAAAATTCTAATTATCACCAACATTTGAAAGACATTTAAGAATTTAGGCATGTTTTTATAAGATAAAAATATTAAGTATATTTCTGTTGAAAAAAATATAATTATAACATGACCAGGGATTTTATTTCAACTTTACTTGTGGGGCAATTACAAATACTGTGTCAATTAGTGTGA